ATTTATCTACCAAAATAAATTGCGTGTATACGTATACATATATCAAAAGAAACCGATAATATATCGAAATGTCATTAAAAATAATCCGTTATGCCGCGGCAGAGCGGCAGAACGGCAGAGCGGCAGAACGGCAGAACGGGAGAGCGGCAGAGAGAACGGCAAGAATTTTGAAATGCTCCCTAATGTCTCTGTGCACGTTCGTTGGTCACAGTAGTATCTCAGTGTATATTCGTCCGTCCGTCACGTTCGATGGCTTTGATTTAATACTGGGACTAGATGATTTTTCACCTAACAGAATTGTAAAAACAGATTCAGCTCAGAGTCCACCATACGATTTAATTGTACCAGAATTTGTAACTGACTATTACACTATTCCCCGTAGTGTACCTCAGCAAAATGTATCAGTGGGTCTGATTGAATTCGGAAACTTTTATTATGATAAACAAGATTTACAGTTGTATGCTGAATCAGTAGATATACCCTATAGACCGCTTAATCCAGAACATATTATTGGTATTAACGATCCGATGTGCGGATAACCCGGAAAGTAATTCATTTAATACGAGTTCTAACAGAAACAAAACCTATATCCAACGTACAGATATTGAATTTATGAAATTATCAATGCGATGTATTACTGTTCTTGTATCGTTCGGTGATAATGGAGCATATGGATATGGTGATGATGGAAATTTAGCAGACTGTTCAAATAAACTATTTCATCCCAGTTATCCAGCAACCTGTCCCTATATAACATCTGTTGATGCAACAGAATTAATTAATACTGAATATAAACGTTTGCAGAATACTACACCTGCATGTACATCTGACCCACCTCCAGTTCAATGCATATCGAATGGAATGGAAGCAGCTGTTGACTATGGCACCTGGTCGTATACCAGTGGCGGTGGTTTTTCGTACTACGAATAACAACCATCCTATCAAAAACAAGCTGTTAAACATTATTTTGATTCAATGAACGATCACAGTAAAAACAATTTTCAACATCTATATCCAATATCGTCAATGTACAATCAATTTAATCGTGGCTTTGCTCATATTGCTGCATTCGGTGTCAGTGCTCATGTAATATTAAATGGTATATATAACCGCGTTGGTCGTACGAGTATATCAGCACCACTTTGGGGTGGAATTGTATCAGTATTGAATTCATATTCGTTAAGTATAACAAATCGAACACTGGGTTTTCTCAATCCATTACTGTATAGGATGGGAGAGGAAATGCCTGAGTGTTGCAATGATATAACAATTGGGGATAACAAGTGTACACAATCAGTATGTACAAATCAATGTCAAGGTTTTCAAACTGCTCGTGGTTGAGATCCAGTGACTGGCTTAGGTAGTCCATACGTGAAAAAGATGTTGAAATTTATTAAAAGATTATTATTGGAGAGAAAAAGATAATGGTCCATAATAAGTAGACAAGGGAGCAGGAGAAAAGACATGATACACTCTAAAGTTTACAATTTCTGACTTCTTTTGATACCTTAAATGTTCGTGTTTTGTTTTTATTTTCAAGTGAAGGTAAGCTTTTTTCTAATTTTCGCTTCAGTTATTGTAGCAAGGATGGTAGCTGCTCGAATACATAACACATGTAGAGAAAGTAGTTTCTTTTTGTCTTATTTTGTGCACGACGTGCTTATTGGCAACATCAAGTTAATACTCGGGAGGAAAAGAATCTTCTATAGTATAATCCTCTTTAAATAAATGTATTTGCGGGGCGGGACATGGTTGCACATTGGGGTGTTGCTGGTCGGTGTTTATCGGGTTCGGTATTGGGTAACCGTTGCCTTGGTGGGTGTCTAAAAACAGATCAATGATGATTACTTGTACGTATGTACTAACCTTGTTCCTGTCGTGTTTGCTGGTCCGGTCATTCCCATCCGAGTGTTAAAGCCATAAGTGACACCTTCGCATTTGGTGACATTAGTCACTTGACTTTGGGTTGTCGTGGTGGGATAGTTCGTGGTGGTGGCGGGATGTAGCTGCTGATCTTTGTGTACGAGTTGAAATTGAACGTGGTGCAGTTTTGGAAGCGCGTTTTTTGCCTTTGTGTGCCATCGGTCTTTGTTCGACCACAGGTAATAATGTGGTTTTTGTGAAATCCCTGTGTGAAAACAGAAATGGATTGAACCTTCAAACTTGACCTTGATTGTCGGTCATTGTAGATGACAAAACTGTTCAATCATCCATATTGTCAGCCTCTTCTATTTCATTATCAATGGATGCTTCTCTAATTGATGAAACCAACAGTTCGTTAATAACTACTACACCTGTTGTTCTTGCTGTAAAATCGTCTCTCTCGAACAAGTCATCAATAATTGCCCCTCAACTGCAATAATTGCCCTTCAAGGTACCAGATATTTAGTCGACAATACTGGCTCTTCCATCCAGCCCGATCCGCTAATACTATACATTGTACCTGGTGTTCGGGTTTTTTTGAACTTTGGACTGTAAAGAATACTGCGAAAAGCCTATGAAAATACTAGGAAACTAGCGGAGTCCACGGGCGTACATAGGAGTCCAATGAAAGTTCGCTTTTTTCTCCCTGCGCGAACCGCTGCTATATCCCAACCATGCAAAAATAACATCAAAAACACATTTTTATACGAGAGACCGCTTATTGTGTCGCAAACCGTCGGTTTTGACTTGTTTTTCTGCTTGAAAATGAACCGGTGTTACTCGTACTTTACACAGTGGGCATTTAGGCGGCATTTTCTGAAAAAATTGTAGGTACGAAATTTTCTGTTTTGAATAGCGGTATATATAGTGTAAACAATGCACTATTTAACAGTGAAAAAATTTTTGTTCTAGCTGCTTCCAAAGTGGAGGAAACCAAGTTACAAAATTACTAGCGAAATAGACGTGTTGGTATTTAAAATTGCATTTTCTCCATCAAATTTGAATTTTTTTTGAAAAACAAACACTGATATGGCATCATCAGGTGTTGGGCTTTCTAAACGTAAAATAGTTTTGGAAGAACAAGTTAAATTTCTGTTGAGGCTCAAAGATCTTTCTAGAAAACCTGTTTAAAAAAAAGGTGACCTCATAAAAATGCACGCGCGCAACTCCGCGCC